TAGGCTCTGAAGATTCTTTTGGCTGTTCAACTTATCTCAAAATACCTACACCAGCTTTTCCAATCTTTAGAAACATTGGGTTACACTTTCCATTATTCCAAGTAAGGACAGGCAATGTTGGTCGGAGATAATGGGAATTATACTCTAACCTATCTCGAGAATGCCATTTTGGAGAAGACTGGTTGAAATTGCTGACCTGGACAAGCCACCATACTGGCTCCCAATCTATTTAAGCACAGATCAAAATGTTGTTCTTAACTCTGAGAATCTAAAAAAAGGATTTTCTCTTGGATGACCCTAACTGAATATTGAGATCAACAGTTATGATCCTTCTCTAAGTTTCTCCAATATTTGAAGTTAAGTCAATGGCAGTTGAGAAAAGAACATTTTGCATTGTTTTGCTTTTTATTTCTTTTTGAAATATTTGTCTCTGTTCTGATCCACATAAATGTTTAATAGCAGGAGAAGATTTTTACATTGCTTGGTGTTTTGGTTTAGTGCTGCTTTTCAGTTTTATCACCATTGTTGTTTTATCATTTGTAATTTAAGTTGCTTTTCCTTTTGTAGACTGCTTAAATTCTATTTTATTGTACTCACCTTTGAACTGAAACATAGAATATTACATTTTCCAAAACAAAACAAAATGTCACCAAACCTAAAGCTCCTTAAAGCACTGTTCACTCTACCAGGTGTAAATTCCAAGTGCACCTGCAATTTACACTACAAAAATCCTGATATTTGTGTGGATTTTCCCAAATAAAATTGATTTCCTATTCATTTTACTGGAAACAGTCAGCTTGCAGCTAGATTTCTCTGCAGCTGTGAATGAGTTTCATCTCTTAAATTACAAGGACATGGCTATAAACAGCAGATTTGTTTTAAAGGCACGAAGTTCACATAAAGTGTGATTATCACATTTGTATAATTTTTGAGAATTAAATTGTCAGGCATTTTCTTACTTACTGTATGTAAGCAATGACAGCATTACTAGTCAATCTTTTTTCTTTAATTCTAAGTAGCACAAGAATGGGGAGTTATTGCCTCTGACTCAATCTTACCAAAACTGAGTGGTTGTAAGTGTTTAGGCCAGTGGTTCTCAACCTTTTTAATGCCGTGACCCCCAACCGGTCGTAAGTCGAGGACTAAATCGGTCGTAAGTCAAGGACTACCCAACTGGTCGTAAGTCGAGGACTTTCCCTGCCCGGGAGCGCCGCGCATGCGTGGTTCCGCCCCCTGCGCCGGCTGAGGCATAGCTGGTAAGTGGCAGAGACTGAGCAGGCCGACCACCAGCTGGCCCAGCTCAAGGGAGGTAAGACACCCGCCGGAAAAGGGGAAAAAAATGGCGGACAGCCTTGCTTGGCGACCCCCGTGAAATGGTCGATCGACCCCAAATGGGGTCATGACCCATAGGTTGAGAACCGCTGGTTTAGGCCATCCAGATCTGGGAATATCCCAACTCTGATTTTGGATAAGATTGCCCTTCCCCATTCAAGATAGGGAAACTTCCTCTAAGAGCAGGTGGTAGCAGTAGCCAGGAAGGCCTTTGTACATCGTTGTTTGGTCCATTTGTTTCCTAGACTGGGCAGTCCTTCAGACAGTCATTCATGCCTTGGCTATGAGGTGACTATGAGCTAACTACTGCAACACTCTGTGTAAGGCTGTCCTTGAAGGTTTATCTGGCCAGAATGCAGCAGCACAAGTAGTAGTGGCCATGTCTTGATATGCCATGTAACACTCCTGGTTGCCAGTTTGCTTCTGGATGCAACACAAGGTGTTGGTTGTTACCCATAAAGACCTACACACTATGGGATTAGGTTACTTTTGGGACCAGCTCCTTCCCATATTATCTGCCAGGCTAAATCAATCTGGCAGGGTGCTTTCTAGGTTCCTTTGATTAAATAATGTCATCTATCAGAACTCTGCAAGTGCTCCTTCTCTGTAGCAGTGGGTGCCCTCTGGAATGAGGTTCTCCCCAAAATCTGGATGGCCCCCTCCCTGCTAGTATTTTGAAGAGCCTTGAAAGTCTTTGGTGAGTGTGATTGAAGCCCTCCTTTGTTCCTGTCTGATGTTTGTTATTCTTGCAATCTTTTATTTTTTATATTTTTTTTCTTATTTTTTTATGTTTTTACTTGTGAACTATCCAGAGTGTTTGGGAGTTGGGCAGCATACAAATTTCGATACAAATACTAATAACATTGTCCCAGCAAAAAAATGCTATGCAGAGTTAGAACTATTCAGAAATTGAGTCTACCAAGAAAGCTACATTTAGACTAGGGCAGTGATGACGAACCTTTTAGAGACCGAGTGCCCAAAAACTGGCCCCACTCCCGCTCCACCCCCTGCCCCGCCCCGCCCCGCTCCGCCCCCCATCCCCCACCCCGCCTGCCCGCAGGGCCACTCACTGCCTCCAGGGCCTGCCACAGATCACCCAGGCAGCCCAGCAGCGCTATAGTGGTCACACCCTCTGCCTGCGCCCTGCAACATCAACTGTGCATGATGGGGTGTGAGGGCAGAGTCTTGTCTACGCTGCCTGGCTGCCATGTCCTTGGTTGCGCTGCTCTGTGTGGGCCACACTCAGGGGCGACTCTCCTTCAGGGAGGCTGCTGGAGAGGAGGGGGTCACGGGGGAGGCGAGGCTGGGGCAACGGCACATATGCCCACAGAGTGCCGCCTCGTGCCATAGGTTCGCCACCACTGGACTAGGGAGTCAAAAAGCATTCCAGATGAAAACAGTGGCAACCCATTTCCATACTGTTGCCAAGAAAATTGCATGGTTATGTCCATCTAAAGTCATGCACAAATTGGGAGCATTCTTGCCTTAGGGCTATTCAACTTATACTTATGGTCTATGAGGAATCATCTACAGTGTGCAGAATAGATTTCCTTCAGGAACCTTTGTGTAATTTTATCATTCTCAAAAATATATACCTAAACACAGAGATACACACACATACTGTTGATTTTTGGCTAATCTGACATTAAGGGGTTAAGCAGTCTTTGAAAAGGATGGAGAAAGAACAGCCTAACATGATTACTTTGAATGTCAGATGTTGAACAATGACAAGTATTTCGTGATTAGAATGAAAGCTGCAGATAAACTGTTCACCCAAAGTAATCTGCTTCATGAAGAATTTAAAATTTAAAACTGCTGTTCTAAGACAGAGCAATGGTTCTGGGACCACTTTTGAGGTCTTTGGGACTTACAAGAACAAATAAAAACAAAGTTTTGACATATAATAAGGCTGGTTAACAATGCTTAGTCTGAGACAATGGTGAACAGACAAAGGCCAACTAGATGTTCTAAGTGTGGAAGAAAACTTTTTGGAAAGACGCAAACTCCACTATAAATGAGGAGACACTACTCTTTAATTCTTATTTCTAACATTGCAGTTTGAAGAATTCTTAGTGCAGAAAATAAATACAAAGTATTAAAATATGTAGTGGCTGTTAAAATAATATTTTGAAATATCCTTGGGAGGGGAAGAAAAAGTGAAGTCACGGTGAGGCCACGAACTCTCTTCATGCTACATGAACAAAATTGATTTGTCTACTTACAAAAACATGTTAAAACTCACACAAACGAATAATCCGACAGGAAATTCTGCCGAATGCTGGGCTCCATAAGGAACAACTTGAGTTTTAATTACATGCTAAAGTTTCAACACAAAACTCTAGCAGTGGAATATTTTTTTTAAAAATTAAAAGAATGCAGTTTCAGTATCTTTTATCATTACAAGCTATCCACTCATAGTCCCTAGATCTCCCTTTATGCAATGCTAATTGTAAAGCAGTAAGCTATTGGGGTTATATTTGTCATAGCTGGACATACCTTTTTATTTTCAGCATGGCTATTTTTATGAAGATTGCAACTTGCTAATGGTCTTTAAATACATACTTGCAGGGAAGAGATAAGGGGATACAAACAGATTTTGATTTCTTCCCACCATATTAACCAGGATGGCAAAATTAAGGGCAGTGATCTCACTGAAGGAACAAGTAATAGATAATGTAACATCATGTTAGATTAACAGTGAAATATATAAATATAGTGGCCCAAATATCCTGTTTACTATTATCCAGTTTTTTTAAGACAGATTGTAAAGAAAATATCATACAGATGTGCATCAGCTATTGTGGTGAATGTTTAATCATATATAAACAAAAACTACACTGTGCATAAAAATCTTACAAAGAAATCAGTTCTCAAAAACAATCTCTATAAAATTTTCACCATTTTTCAGTCTTGCGTTCTAAAATTTACTCCAAGCCAGCTAGTTTTCATGAACATTAGCAAAAATAAATGCATTGTTGAATTAAACTCAAACCCCACAATTATTATTCACAGACAGGATATGTTAAGAGGCACAATACTGGAAGCAGCCCTCACGCTGATGTTTCTTTCAACAAAATGGGATCCAGCCTCAGAAGAAATTTAATTCCACTTCCTATGGAATTTGGGGCAAAATGTCTTTTTTTTCTGTCTTCAGGCGCAGCTGCTCAAAAAGCAGTCAGTGTGGCTGAGTGCTGAACATGGATTCATACTTACTTATTTCAGCTTCCAAAGTTATCCCACATGCAACCTGTTCACAGCAGCCAAGCTAGAAAATCAACTCAGGCTAATAAAGCCAAGCAGAGCCTATGGCAGAAGCAGTTCTGCAAAAAGATGCTTGATCTAAGTAGGACGCATATTACTTGGATTCCAAGCATTAAGAGTGGAATTCCAAGCATTAAGAGTCCCCCCCTTCAATTCTAATTCAAAAGCTTGAATTTGCCTGAAATTTCCCCTTCTTTTTCAATAGCTGCTACCACTCTGGACAATGAGATTCTGTTTAAAATACACACACTATATATATATAAAATGCTTACCCCTGAGAAAGAGAAACACCCAAAATTTCTTTCCACTGCTGGCCCAAATAAAAAAATACCCAGACTTATTACACAGCCACTTGCATTTCCTCCTGCTCACAACTAACCAGTAAGAGGCAGAGAGCTGCAGCCTACCTGTGAAGGAAGACCTTGATAGTCCTCTCTTAAAAATCCTCTCTTGCTTCCCCTTGTGAGACAAAGTTCCCAGTCCCCTGAATATACAATCCAGTGGAGACCAGCTCCACTGAAATTCACCCCTCTCCTTCTTCTCTCAAGCAAGTCACTGGAGACAGCTGGTTTTATTTTAGCCTTGCATGCGCACCATGGCACTTGGCACCTATTTTTAGGGGCTGAGAAGTACAGGGCCAGTGCCTGAGTCAACTATTTGTTCTAGAAATCTGCTAGTAAAGGCCATCTTATAGTGCCTTTTGTCATCTTGGCGTAACAGCACTTGTGCAGTCAATCAAGTGTTCATTGACCCAGCTTTCTCCTTGTGAGATGGTTGTTTTTTTTAGGGAAAAGAAACCTAGACCATCCTAGTCATCGCACTCACGTGGACTCCACCCCCCAGCTAACACTCCTTTTGCTGGCTCTTCAATGCACTCATTCGATTAATTCACAAGGTAAATAGGGGAAACCTATTTAAAGAAAACGAACCACTTGGTTATAAACCAAGAAGAGCTGAAGGCACTTAGCCAAATCTTTCGATGCCTTTCAAATGTGGAAAAGCAAGGTTTAAAGAAAATAGATGACAATTAAAGAGAGCTTTCCTATATGAAGTTGGGAGGAGAAGTGAGCTGATGTTTAAGTCAAGAAGTTGGTTTTAGTATCAGACTCATTGTTGGTACAGTGTGCTTACTCATACCAGCAAGACGCTCTTCACAATGTCCTAGTTCTGTAGGGCAATCTGGAACAATTGGTGACCCCAATTAATGCAGCAAAAAAGACTCCTGTTTCTCAAGATGAATGGACTCTCCTAAGTGGGAGGGGAGAATGGGTGACTCAGTTTTAATTTTGATATGAATAATGATGTTTTCCATAGGAATTCCACAGGAGTTTTAGTCTGCCATTAGGTTTTACCTGATGCCAAGTTCAAAATGAATTGGGAACTATCTGATGATGTGAAACATCAGAAAAATTGTTGAGGGAAGATTCATAACATTTTATCTCCAAATTGGAAAGCAAAGACACTTTCCCTTAAAATATTACCTGTGGAAAAGGACAAGGATGGGAATTTATTTTGTGTTTGCTAAAAAGAAAAAAAATGTTTTCAAAACAGCCAAATGGAGGTGCAAATGACTGCAAGCTGGTGGAACTTATCTTTTTGTAACAACTTAAATCACTTTCTTTTAGTTAGTGCTAGTTCTGTTTAATTCCTTTCTGTTTAGTTAGTGCTATTCTGCCCCTCATTTTTGTTCTTCCTCCTTTCCTTTCCCGATGCAGCCCCCTCTTCTTTCCACATACCTCTTTTTTTTTTTTTTTTCCTCCTTGTTTTGCAATGTTTCTGCTAGAAGGAAGTTTGTAGATGTGAATTTGCCAGTTTCCATATAAGAGAATGGATTATTTGTATGACAGAAAATGGTGGGTTTATTTTATATTGAAGACTAGTTGGCTTTATAAATGGAGTAACCTATGTTTAGGCAATTGATTATAGTCACTAGTTATTAATATTAACTACTATTAAGCTATTAAAATATTAGTTTGTCTTAGATCTTATTTTTTCTGAAGTAACCTACTAGCACATAGGAAACTATATTATAATCAGATGCACATGTTCAGATTTGGGCATGCTATGCTATATTTATTGGAACATGGAAATTAAGGAAGGGGTCAAGTGGTATTGGCCACTCAAGGTTGACAAAGTAGACTATTTCACATGAATAGTCTGGATACTGAGCTTCTTTTTCTGTCTACCCTTTTATTTTAGTGGGATCAGCTCATTTGCAATTCACAGGTGTCTTCTTTTTAGATGAATAAGTTAAGGAGAAGATATACTATTATGAAGAAATTAAGCATTCCTCATTTCCAATGTGAAGCTGATTTTATACACAAATCTGCATGAGTACCAAGTATGCTATAAAAAGAACAACACTGATTCCAGGGCAGTTTTCAAAATTCAGTTTGTTTAATTTTGGGACCACTTCATTCATAACATTTCTTTTACACAGGGTTAAAAAGATACTACCAAAATACTACAATCAATGTAAACCATATAAACATGGAAGCGGCTGCTTCCAAACATAGGTCTACATTACAAAAGAAAATGCTGTTACATTTTCACACATAACAGTGACACAGTGAGTCATTTGAAGTTTATGCTATTCAGTTATCAGTGTTCAGTTCAAAACAGGGTCTGGCTGTTCTCTAGTTCGGTACGTCATGAAAGGGCCAGAAATATATGTATGAGTTTGTTCGCATTGTCTTTTCGTTGCCAAGAAGGAATATGCTTCAGAACTTTTTCTGACTCAAGTGCAAAAATAACTTTACCAGACTAGAACACTATGCACTTTGTGGGAGGGGGTAGGGGCAGAGGGGAAGATGCCCTTTCTGTTTTTACCTCAGCAAAGTATCATAGGATGGGTGCTACTAAATTAAATGGCTTGTTTCTTTGTCACATTCTATAAACAGAATCCAGGCAGCAAAGCAGGACTATCAAAATATAGGGCAGTAACTTTCAAAACATAAAATAATGACCAGAAGGGAGAAGAAACAGTAGAGGATTTCTTGATTGAATCCAGGATCCCCAGGTCCCTGATTTTTTCAAATTGTACCCTTAGTAACCAAGGACAGCAGGGCAAGAAGTAAGGTTTCCCCTCTGCCCTTGTGGCTAAGGAAACTTGGGCAGACTCAACTTTCATGCTTCCCAGCAAAGTCTGATAAAATGAAGAAGTGTCATCAGCAATTTTATTGAAAAAGATATTAAAAATCTGCATTTCCTTTAAAAAAAACAACAACTAGTGTCACCTGGTTGCAGAGTTGATTACATTCTATTCCCCTCAAAGGTATCTGGAGATTTCTGAGAATAAGAATATTGCCCTGAAAACTGCGAAGTGCTCAGAACCTAATTGGTAATGTGTTTCATCCACTGATTAAAATAAAGAGAGGTATGAGTTTGCTCAATTGATTAAGGAAATTATTCCCAGAGAATTGCTATTATCTGGAAATGCCTGCTGACTGCCAATTTATAACCCAGACAGCTACCTCATGAAGGATCTGTAAATTGACTATATCAGAGCTGAAGCAGGATACACGGTAGTACACTTACTTCCAAAATGAAATATTATCTGAGCACCTCCCATGAGATCTTTGGAGTAGCATGTCAAAACTTACAGGATGGCTTTTATATTATTAAATCAATCGAAGAAGCAGAATCTTCTTAAGGAACGTTCATTTCACAGGGTGTACCTTAGTTATTCCTTTGTACTTGTACAGTACTATAGGGAATTGATTGGGAGGCATCGCCATGCGATAAACAGCTAGCCAATCATGCTAGCCAATCATGTGATTTAGGATCAAATTTTCACCTAAATCCCATCATTGGGAAGAAGAAGTGGCTGATTCCAGGATGATTAGAAAGACTATTTCTAGCTCCAGTATAAAAGGGTCATCGCAAAATCTGCATCTGGTAGCTGCTCATAGTTGCTGTAACAGTGAGATGGACATCATATAAATTTAATAAATAAATAAAGCCTGTAAGCAAGAAGCATGGAATATGTACATTTTATACAATTAGCCTATAAATTCCTACTTCAATAAACATCTAAGGCAGACATGTCAAACTCGCGACGTCACATGACGTCGCGCAACATATCGCAACGTATTTTTCGCCAATGCCGGCAATGGGGTGGGCGCGGCTCCGGTATGATGAAACCAGCCCGCGGGCCGGCAGTTTGACACCCCTGATCTAAGGGTTCCATGGCAGATGTGCTTCACTTGGGGGTACATCTTATTGCAAAGTAATATTGGGGGGCCTCCCTTGCAGAAAGATGGGCAAGATAGCAACTAATACAACTATTACTTTTCCTCTCCTTTGAGAGAAACTACAATCTTTTGAACTAGGGGGAAATCTCCTTGTGCAAAAGAAACCTCTTTAATCTCTTCTCTCTGTAAACATGCAACAAGGGAACAAAAAAGCCACTTGGGGCATTTTTTTATGCAGTTATCCCCTTTTGCCCATTGAGTGCTATGCATCTGACTGGGTAGATAGTTTATTAATTGATTAATCTTAAAACCGAAATAAAATGGATCAGGATCTAAATCCAGGATAAAATAGATAAAAGAAAACACAGTAATAAAATACATATAAGGTGTGCTATGAAGTCTACGTGCTTTTTCAAGAGGCAACTAGACTTTCTTGGGTTTTTTTCTTTGAAGACATTTTGCTTCTCATCCAAGAAGTTTCTTCAGCTTTGACTGGATGGTGGGGAATGGAAGGATTTGTATTTTGGGACAACATGAGAATCTCCATAAATATCTAGTTGGTTTCCTTTCCCAGGCAACCCGGATCTCTTCTGGTAAAAAGCCATGGGCACTTGTACCCTTTGACTCACACAATTATCCTTGAATTTTGCTCCCTGCATAACCCCTAATTTCCTGTTGCAGATTTTTGTGAGCATTAACTTGTCTCTTAGATTGACCAAGATTTAACTTTCCTCAAGAGATCAAGACATCTTATCTAATATGTTTTCCTACAATTACTGTTCTGGTTCCTAGAGCAGAATATCCCATAGTTCCTTGCCATTATTCTCGCCTCATTTACCCAAGGAGTGGCCTCTGTCCATAGTCAAACCCTTGTTAAGTCTGATTCCATACACAGCATTGCATGATCTACAAAGTTGTAAGACCTTGCAGGAGAGAGTTAGGGTTTGTATGTGAATGGATGTTTTTGAAATTATGATTGATTTAGCAGATAATTTAGAGCATTGCGAAGTCCAGGAGAATCACTTAGTTGCCTTCTAAATCTATTATTGTACAAAATTATTGTGAACCCAGGATTCCTAATAACCACTATGTTCTTAATTTATTTGGCCATAGCCACAAATAGATATATCATCCACAGACTACTTCTATGTAAGATTGTTCAGAATAGTGTAGAAGCATTTGAAGGTTGATTTTTGTTTAGTTGTTCTTTGTTTTACTCTTTGTGAATTCATAATCTAACTATGACTATAAACAATATGACCTTTAGCAATGAATGTACCTGACCCAAACAGTATCAAAGATGTGTTACATATGTTTACATCTCTCACCTTTGCTTGAAGCAATTAAAGTCTGAAATGAAAAGACAATGACATATTTTCACATATTTATGGAGTGAGAACTATAATACTATGAATGACATAGATCTGTGCTCTGGATGTGTTAAACCAGAACCAGTTTCATTCTACTTTTTTTATACTTAGAGATTTATACATCAATAATTGTACAATAAATGAATAAAACTGGCCAAATGTAAATGGATAAGTCTATCAGTTGCAAAACTGTAAAAGAAAATAATCTGAAAAGTACATGGCTATGTATTGTGTGCATAATATACCAGGCAGGATAATTTTTAAAAAAATCTACTCTTATTTTTAAAATGTGTCAAGGAGAAAACATTGCAGCTGATATCAGTTCTTAAAATGCTTGTCAGATAAAAGAAATGCATGGAGTTAAATGTTGCAGAAATAAATTTCCTTCAATAGGTGTAAGAATCCAAGTCCTCTGGCACACATAAAGTGCTATAAATGAGCAATAATTCGGGGTGACATTGTTATAAAGCAATATAAGTACAAGGTGAACTCATCTGCATGCAATTATTCACATTGTTTAAATTGTGCTGATCTATCAGAAGCTACTTCTACTTAACTGCTTCTATTTTACTTTTAATACTTCAAATAATTTCAAGGTTGCTAGAAGCTGTGGTTCTATATAGCTAAGGGTGGGGTTTTTTCCTCCTGAATCCTAGCCTTAACTTCCTTTGTAAGAGCAGAGCTAACAACATCCATCTCTTGTTTTTATTAGATAAGAATGTGCTGTTCCTATTTTAGTTTCATTTCCTGTACTAAAATGCATTATCTTCCCCAACCATAATTCCCATTAACGAGGAACAAGATTAGTCAGTGGTAATGACTAATTAACAGTTACTGACAGCATTTAAATTGTCTAAATTACAGGTCAATCCTACAGTCTTGATATGTGAGGCAGTCACTATCCCATTGCTACCGCTTGCATAATCATCATTGAATCAATATCAGGCCAGGAGCACAAGAAGCAAAATTTAATCTGTCGACACAATCACTCCCACAACATTATTTGCTGCTACCCTTCAATTACACAAATCCTGTCTCTGTGTTAGTTATATATCAGAAGCAACAAGTATATGATGAAGGCTGAAAATTTAAAATACTGCATGAAAATTCACCAGCAATTGCACATAGCAATAGTACTTAGACTTATATACCACTTCATAGTGATTTTACAGCCCTCTCTAAGCAGTTTACAGAGTCAGCCAACAATCTGGGTCCTCAATTTACCGACCTTGGAAGGATGAAAGGCTGAGTCAACCTTGAGCCTGTGAGAATCAAACTCTAGATGGTGGGCAGAGGTTTAACCTGAAATACTGCATTCTAACCACTGCACCACTACATACTTTCTCAAAATTCATATTTTTGAGGGCTGTTTTAATTTACACATTTTCCAGCAATCTTCTCTTTAAAAAATGGTTTTGTATACATTCTCCTTCTGCATTTGCATTTTGTGCATACTTCTGAATATCTGAGGATCAGTAATGCTGCAGCTATAGCCTCATAAGTGCCAACTCTGCATTTTTCATCCTATTGACCACAAAGAGATTCCCTCTTTCTTCCCATCTTCTCTTTCTCTGCTCTGCTTTCCCCTAGTCGAAAGATTGTTGAATTACATGGCTTCAGCTAGTTATCTGAAGATTTCAGCAGTGGAATCTTCCCAAAGTTTAAGACATATGCATATGGCAAATATATATAAAACTTGGGGGGGGGGAGTGTTTACCATTCCTTGTTAAAGGATGGAATTGTTTATTGTCTATCTTTATTGTCTATCAATAGCATCAGCTTCTGAAGCAAATGGAGTTGCATCAGAGAAGTGAGAATGACAGCATTCATTGAGCCTTTGAAATCTGCATGGGAAATGAAAGAAAAATGAGAACCTCATTGATGGATTTCCATGCTGGGGAGAAGTATACCCATTTCATAATTCTCTGCCATGAACTCCGGAAGATGCACAGAGGCAGCCTGACAGGAAAACAGCAAGGTTCCTCACTGCTCTAGCTGCTGTAGACTTTTCATATGATGTGCATGATGTTCAGGGAGAAAAACAACCTTGCTTAGGCCTGCCTTGCCTGTAGGAGTATGAACAAGTATGGAGAAGATGATATGTAATGGATTCTTCAATGATCCAGTGAAGGAATGCCAATTATCGGGACCGTTTGCCTCCTGCACTTTCTACACTTGGACATGCTCATCAAGAAGTCAATGTTCTGTTGGGACAAAGGTATACTGGAAATGTATGGGCATTTTCTGGTCTACTCTTTGGTTTATCTTGGAAACCAAAACAAGTTGTAATTGAATCATCAGTCATGTCAAGAGGAAAGCAGTGTACCTGACAATCAAAGAGCCTGCACTCTCACTGATGTACAGGAGGAGATTTTGTGATCTCTTTCTGCACAGTCCATCATGTTGGACATTATTACCACTCATGAGAAAGAAGAGCCGGACCTTTATGTCCACCATCTGAAAATTCTAGCCATTCATCCCTTTTCCGATGAACCTTACAATATGCTCTGAGAATCTTTTCTAAAAATTAAAAAAAAAAAAATATCCCGAGGTGGGAATTCTGTAAAGGATCTAAGAAAAAGAAGGATGTTTATCTGCCTTTATTTTTGTTCTCACTGATTGTTTTGTCTATAATATTTTCTGTCCCGTCTTTGAGACTCATCCAACTCCAGGTTTCCCCTCTGTCTTCTGCCTTCACACTGGTACAAAACTATATTGTCCTGTCAATATAACATTTCCCCACCGATGCAGTGATGCAAGAGGATTTAGGAGTCATCTAGTCACTCACCCAGCCACCCAGGAGAGGATCAGGCTTTGAACAACTTGCAAAATTAATGTCAAGCTAATCAAATTCAATTTTGCCCAGTTTCTTATTTTCCAATAAGTCCCTTCCATGTTTGCAACTGTTTGCAATTTACTTTTAAAACTGCCTGAAAGATTTCTAGTCATGAAAAGCCACAACTGCACTGCTTAAGACTAGTAAGGCCAAATCAGTTCCACTGCAACATGTAGTTCTCTCATGTTCCAGAGATGAAAATGATACTCTATGGATGAATCTTCATTTACATCTGTAGTACAATCACAAGTTGGATTTTATTCCTTTGATGTGGATCATTAACTGTATTAATACTAGAACATGAATCAATCTCGGCCTCTGTCTCCCCCTCTCTCTCA